AAGAAAGGGAAAAAAAAAAAAAAAAAAAAAAAAAGAGCATCCTATTTTTAATTCAGGTTACTTGCTCATTTCATAATATCGCCGGGCAAAAAAGCAATTGAATTGTACTCCTTGCTACAGCGATCGAGTTAATAATTGAATTGTACTCTTTGCAACAGCGGTTGTTGTGCTGTGTCGCGATTCCCCGTGTGTCGTGAAACTGTCATGAATGCTTTAAMAAAAAAAAAAAAAAAAAAAAAAACTACTTGCTTGCTTACTTGATAGTTTTATCCCAGCTTCCAGTGGCAAGCACATTCATCTCCGGTATCCAAGCCAGCTGCGAAATCGGCCCTTCATGCATGGCCACCGTCTGTGGCTGCCCTCCCGAGAGCAGAGGCCACATCTTTGCTTGGCGGTCGCATCCACCAGAGAACACCGACATCCCGTCATCTTTCCACGCCGAGCACAGAACCTGACAAAGGAGAGAGACAGACAAGATGGTGGTCAGGTTCGGGATCAGGATCACAATGGGAATCGGGATCGGAATCAGGATGGGGATGGGGATTCGATCCGCATCGGGATCAGGATCACAATGGGGATCGGAATCAGGGCTCGGGATCGGAATCAGGATCGGAATCCAGATCAGGCTGGGGACGGGATCGGGATCATACAGTAGACAGAAGTTTGGGGGAGGGGGAAAAGAAGATCGCTTTGCTGAGTAATCATGCAAAATGCATAGAACAAAACAATTTTGCTTTCTCACTGTGAAGATTCGACAAACTCTGTGCACATGCACCTATCATATAAACACACCATTTTTATTTTAACCACTGAAGTTGTACCAATGTGTCTTGCATACCCCTGCTGGATAACAAGTCGAACTATGTCCCGCACCCCTGGGCTAGTGGCAAACTGCCGCAACAGCCCGTCAGGAGACACAGCCAGAAGCACTGGAATAGGTAAAACACACACTCAGAAGCGGTTGCCAAAGCCATGAACAAACTTAAGAGAAGCTTCGTCACACACGAAAAAGAGAGAGAGCCTCAAAAAAGGTTGTAGTACTATAAAGGTCACTCGTCCCTGGATATTATACAAAAAAGGTTGCACTAAGGGGGTCACTCAGCCCTAAATAATAAAAAAAGATTGAACTATGGGGGTCACTGATCCCTGGATTATACAAACAGGTTATAAAAGGTTGTACTATATGTGGGTCACACATCCCTGGAATACAAAGGTTGTCCAATATATGGGACGCTGGGCCCCCAGTTCTCAGCACATGCTGCTGCCCACGAATAGACCGGAGCCTTGATTTGTGGGTGGGTGGGTGGGGGGGGGGGGGGAGGGGGGAAAGGTCACTTATCCGCAGATTACAATTGTCGTATTATTATCATTGGAAAAAAAAGGGCAAAAAAAAAAAAAAAAAAAGGTCGTCCGGTGTGTGATAAACCCTTAGGTAAAAATAAACTTGGAACTAACTTGTTCCAGGTGTAACTGGGGTTGGGAATCCACTGAGCATCTATGGCTCCTGTGTCCTTACTCTGATGAACAATGGCAATGGTGGCAAACACAATGGTCCGATATGACAGATAAAGACTGGGAGTGGTCTAATCAGTGGATCCTACACAGCCTACCAAGTGGCCAGGCAAACTTGAAAGACAGATGGAGCTATGCTGCGGTGGTCTGCAAAGGAATCCTTCTCGAGGTCATCTGGAATGCAAGGAACGCGAAAGTCTTCAGAAAAGAAACCATTCAGACAGGCCAACAGATCAGCCAAGTTAAGACAGCCATCAAGCTGGCCATCCTCACAGACTGGAGGAGATCGAGGGCGAGATCAGGAAAAGGACTACATTGGTTTAAAAAGGTCTGGACGATAGGAGAAAAACTGGCCTCGGTTTCGCAGGACGGAAAACTGTCGATTGCCTGTTTGTTTTTTCCAGCTGAGGGCAAGGGCTGTCTCTTATACACATCTAGATGTGTATAAGAGACAGGTATTACGGGGAACCCCGTAGCAGCCACATCCGTGCTCAAGCCTCCAACGAGGGAACATGCAGGAGCTGCACCCACCAGCAGGTGCGATACCTGCTACAGCAGGTGGGCGATACCGGCCAGGGGTCAGCCCGTAGCATTAGGACCGAGCTTCTTCGATGGGCCAGTCACTGTGCCTCCCCTCCGGTCCCCTCCCCCTATGAACATCAGCAGTCTCTGCTCAATGCCACTCGGGGGGACCAACGGCATATCTCTAGGTGGCGGGCGCCAAGCTTGCCCAGGAAGGTACATGAGGCCAATGGGGATTGAACCCAAGACCTCCTGAATGCCACTTGCGTGCCTTACCAACTGAGCTAGGCCGCTGGATAGATGCACAATTTTCACAGCCTGCACAATTTTCGCAAAGGTAAAAATAATGAAAATTTCCAAATTTTCGGAAAAGCAAAAAAAAAAAAAAAAAACCAAATTTTCGGAAAGGCAAAAAATAATGAAAATTTTCAATTTTGGGAAAGGAACAAATTGCAAATTTTCAATTTTGCCTTTCCTTAAATTGAAATTTTTGGAACGACAAAACTTGCACATGATGAGAATCTGCAGATAGCGAGATGGTGGAGATGGTAGAATTTTAAAGCATTATTTTAAAAATAGAAATAGAGGTAGAGATATGGTGGAGATCCACAAGATGTTTTGTTTTTTTTTTTGGTGCACTCACCTCGCTGGCAGCTCATGCGCAAGCAACAGCGGGCAGTAGAGAAATGGTCGTTTCAAACCMCCCCCCCCCCCCCCCCAACCACACACCCCCCCAAAAAAAAAAAAAAACTCGACAGCCAGCCAGTAGTTGGTGAAAAGGAGGGGGTGGGGTTGGTACTATGAAAGGCTGGTACCAGGGTAGTTTGGTATGGAAAAATGATAGGACCTGGCCTTAGGGTGAATATATTTTTCGGATCAAATTAGGACCAGGGCCTGAGGAAAAATTGGCGGACCTTGAAGAAACAACAGGGACCGAAGGGAGACCGATTTGGGAATGGGAATGGAAGCAAGTACCAGTTTAGTCCCATAACAATGACAATATATATAGGACATCCAGAACGTCAACAGTATCTCGAAAGCGAACCCTTGAGGAGGTGGTAGCTGGCGGCGGCTGAAACTAGTCGGGGAATGCCAGTCTTCTTCATCTTGGGGCTTAACTTTCACCCCAGTCCTGGGGCTTAACTTTCACCCCAGTCCACTTAGCCATTTGGTTGAGTGTTTACATCTTAACGTGGAGGTCGCATGTTCGATCCTTGGATCGAACATGCGACCTCCACGTTAAGATGTAAACACTCAACCAAATGGCTAAGTGGACTGGGGGATCGGTGCGGACGGACAGATTGTTGTCCGGAGTGAGAATGCAATTCTTCATCTTGAGGCGATATCCTGATTATTTGGTGGCGAAGATGGGGATGTGAGCCATAGTCTGTCTATGGCTGTGGTCTCTTGATGCTCTTGATGTATCGTAAGGAGACCTGTTTCGAGATTTTTCCACATATTGTTTGCTATTGAATATATTAATTTAGATATTAATTTAGAATCAATATATTCATAAGTGCATGACAACGGCACGTGTGGTAGTGTGTTCACGCACTTGAGTCAGACTTCGTTTTGACTTGGCTTAGGGTCTCGCCGCACGGCACACGAAACGGAAACGAAACAAGTGCATCTGCCCACCAAAGGTGGCAAAATACACTCGTTACTATTTATAGCAAACCGATGAACCTGGGCATTTTGTTGAGGAAGATACATTCGTTTCGTTTTTCGTTTCGTGTGCCGTGCAGCGAGGCCCTTACCTTCATTTTCAGCCAGTAGCACAAAGATTGCTGAAGTGTCCTTCGGGACATCCGTTAAAAGGATTGGAACGATACAGCATTTTTTTTTTTTTTTAAAGATTGCTGAAGTCGTACTTACCGGTTGCTCATGGCCAATAGCAGCTTTCGGCACCGTTGATCCCGACTGTTGGACCTCCCAGCATCGAACCTGTACACGTGTCATAAGCCCCATCATCGCAATAGGAAAAACCTTAAAAAGAGCAACGAGACGCCACGTGGACGTGGAGGGCATCGCAATTGGAAAAGCCTTAAAAAAAGCAAAGAGACGCCACGTGGACGTGGAGGGCATCGCAATTGGAAAAGCCTTAAAAAAAGCAAAGAGACGCCACGTGGCGGGCAAAGAGGGGATGATCACACGTGTGGTCATAATCCTATCATCGCAATTGGATAAGCCTTTTCCAAGTGAGAAAAAAAAAAAAAAAAGCCTTTTCCAAGTAAAGGGACACTGCTTGGAGGGCAAAGAGGAGAGATGATCACGTGTCATAAGAGCACATTATCGCAACTGGGTAGGCCTTTTAAGAAGGAGCCGCCACGTGGAAGGAAAGAGGGGGGGGGGGGTAGGGGAGAAAATCACGCAGAGAGGGCAGTAATCGAATCTCCTTTACGTTTCGTAACAGTAGTATAAAACTGCGGGGGGAGGGAGTTATCAGTTGAAGTCGAACGGTGTTTTTTTTTTTCTTTTTTTTTTTTTTGTGTGTGTGTGTGTATGTGGATGTGTGAAGATGATGATGATGTGTGCGTGTGTCTGTGTTTTGGTGAGGGAGATCCGTTGAAAAGGCTACGCATACAGAGGGTAATATCACTCATACCTGCACGTTTAATAAGATCGTCGTCAAAGAAGCTGGAAAAACTCAAAAGAGTGGAGCTATCACCACACAAAGAGGGAAATAGAGCGATTATTTGGGAGAAAAGGGGCATACAAAAGGGCAAATAGAGTCACCCTTCGGGGGAGAAGGGCTAAGGAGGGGGCATATAGGCACCGGGGGGGGGGAGAGGGCGGGGGGGAGACATAGGTAGGGAGAAGCAGCGGCATTCATTGGGGAGAGGAGGCATAAAGAACGGTAAATCAAGCGATCGAACTTCTCATTCAGACAAGGGTTATTAACGGATACGTACTTTATGGGCATCAATCAAAACTTGTGTCTTTGTGTCAGCACTTCTCCCCTATCATTAACACAAAGAAAGAACTGTTGATTGGGAGAAAAGGGGCATAGAGAGAGGCAAATAGAGTCATCAGGACTCCTCCCTCCTTCTCCTCTTCCTCCTCTCTCCCATCTCCTCTTCATTATCTCCCCTCTCCCTATAATACGCAGACGTCACCACTTCTACCCTATCCTTGACACAAAAATAAAAGCGGAGACAGGAGGAAGAGGAGAAGAGGAGAAGGAGAGAGGAGGAAAAGGAGAAGGAGAGAGGAGGAAGAGGAGGAAGAGGAGAAGGAGAGGGAGGAAGAGGAGAAGGAGAGAGGAGAAGAAACGAGAGAAGAGGAGAGGAGGAGAGAGGAGGGGAACATCTCTCTTGGCGGAAGACAAGCGGGGCACTGAAACTAACCTTTTTTTTTTTTTTTTTTTTTTTTTTTAGACTGACCTGATTATCCCATGACGTCGCCACTAAATAGTTGGCCTTTGGACTAAAGCTCAGACTTGAAACTCCATCATTCGGAGGAGACACCACCTGTGTGATCACAAAACGGAAAAGCACACACAAGCAAACCAACAGAAAAATCCATAATTTCGTCTCCGCTCATTTGGAGGAGAGAAAATCGACGGACAGAAAACCAGAAAAGGGAAAAAAAAAAAAAAAAAAAGAAAGACAAACTTACCAGAGGAGAAAAAAAGAGAAAGTAGCGCTTAAACTTCGAAAATTCCTATCAGCGTTACACAAAAACACAAACACGAAACCTCCCTCTCTCTCTCTCTCTCTCTCTCTCTCTCTCTCTCTCTCTCTCTCTCTCTCTCTCTCTCTCTCTCTCTCTCTCACACACACACACACACACACACACACACACTCCCTACCGCTTTCTTTTCATAACTGACTCGCTCATTGTGTGTCCGTGGCTTCTGCGTGCTCTGTCATTCTACATATCGACCACTCAATCTATCAATCAATCTACCAATCAATCTACCAGTTAATCTATCAATCAGTCTACCAGTTGATCTATCAATCAATCTACCCGTTGATCTATAAATCAATCTACCAATCAATCTACCAATCAATCTACCAGTTAAATCTACCAGTTGATCGATCAATCAATCTACCAGTTAATCTACCAATCAATCTATCAATCAATCAATCAATCAATCAATCAATCAATTAATCTATCAATCTATCAATCTATCAATCTATCAATCAATCTATCAATCAATCTATCAATCAATCTATCAATCAATCTACCGCTTTCTTTTTATAACTGACTCGCTCATTGTGTGTCCGTGGCTTCTGCGTGCTCTGTCATTCTACATATCGACCACTCAATCTATCAATCAATCCACCAATCAATCTACCAGTTAATCTATCAATCAATCTACCCGTTGATCTATCAATCAATCTACCAATCAATCTGCCAATCAATCTACCAGTTAAATCTACCAGTTGATCTATCAATCAATCTACCAGTTAATCAATCAATCAATCAATCAATCAATCAATCAATCTATCAATCTATCAATTAATCTGTCAATCTATCAATCAATCTATCAATCTATCAATCGAAATCTTTCAATCGATCTATCAGTCGATCTACCGACGAATCTATCAAATAGATCCATGTAAGCAATCGATCCATCGATCCATGATTAATCAACCCATCAATCAATCAGTCTACCACCTGTCTTCTGTCTCTTTCTCCTGGATGGTTGATGTTGAAAGCTAAGTTTGACCATCAATTACGAACCATTAAATCGATAACATCAATCAACCAATCAATCAACCAATCAATCAACCATATCACTTATCAAAGCAAATTAATCAATCAATCACAGTTATAGCACATTTCGTTCGACGGAGAGAGGTAAGAAACTACCGTGCCCAGACCGTGCTATTTATTCTGCACTTTCCGCATGAATCTGGTCGCGAGAGCATCCACTTCATGGTAGGCAGCCTCCACCCAATACGTAATCAGGAGAGTGATCTGGCCCTCGGGCCCGCAGAACAGGCATGATCGCATGCTATTTTGTTCGCTAAACCATCATGAACCTGGTCCGAATACTGGACAGAATTCATATTTCGCATATGGAAGGGACAACGCATGAACCAAACGAAGAAAACATGACCACATGCAAACGACTACTACATGGATGAACAAAAAAAAAGACACTCGTAAATTAATCAAGAAGAGAGGAGAAAATGTGAGCGAAAGGATCAAACGAGCATACGCCGTGCTGAAGCTTGTGCTGCACCACACCTTCGTATCCAGCATCATATGCATTTGTGCTTTTTTGTTCTTTTTCTGGTTTTCTTAAATTTCTTTGTTTTTTTTTTCTTGGTGCATTTCATACCAGAACATAATCGCTAAGCATGAAACTGGCCTGAACACAGGGTGACATTCATGTTTTCGCTTTATCGAATGGACACGGACCAGCCAACCGAAAAAAAATAAAAAAATAAAAAAAATCGAACACAAAGATATGAACAAAAGATATATTGACGCACAAGTTACGATTCCAAAAATCCTCCAAACCTTTTCTTTTTTAAGTTGAAAATGCAAAAAAAAAAAAAAAAAAAGCCGAAAAAGCTGTTTTCAAAACCCTAAACCCTTAGAAAACAAGGCTAAGAAAGGATATAAAAATTTATTAAAAAAATGCAAATAGCGCCCATTTAATTGAAGAGCTTTTTTTTTTCTTCATCTGATAGATTTTTTTTTTTTTTTTTCGCTCATCTAATTGGACCACGATTCGAACTCACGTCTGTTTATCAACGGGTACAAATGAAGGATGTACCTGTCATCTGATAGATTTTTTTTTCTTTCCGCTCATCCTTGAAGAGTGTACCTGTCAGCCAAATTGGTTGGGTGCCCCCTATGCATATTCAAGGATGACAAGTGATGCTCCGAAAAAAAATAATTCCAAAATAATTCCCCCCAAAACAGATTTTTTTTAATTAAAAAAAAAAAACAAAGAAGAACAATGAGGCTCCAATATTTATGTCAATTACCTCAACACTTTTGTTGGGATTATGTGCCGCCGCCGCGCCCGCCAGAGTACTTCCAAATGCCGTAGATGTCATCTTCGTCAATTAACTGAGAAAAAAAAGAAAAAAAAAATCTCTAATTACACCAGAGGTCTGTCAATCTACTATCACAGTCGCCCCGACTGTCAGAGCTGTAAGGGAACTGTCAGAGAAGTGACAGAGAACTTCCAGAAGATTGATAAAGAACTGTCAGAGGAACTTTCACAGAACTGTCAGAGAATTGACACAGAACTGTCAGAGAATTGACACAGAACTGTCAGACTACCTGTCAGGGCGAGAACTGACCGCAAGCTGTCAGAGGACGGATTGCAGTGCAGCGAGAGAATTGTAAGAGAAGCGGTCAGAGATTGTCAGAAGTATCAGAGAGGATCAACAGAGAGGTCGGTGGGAAGAAGAATTAAAAAAATAATAATAATAATAATTAAAAAAAAAATTATGATAATTCTAAGAGCCTTCCGCTGGCACAAGGATCTGCGGGACAATTGCGCAGAGGAGGACATGAGCGACTGCACTGCCAGAGCATCATCGTATCTGCAATTCCTGAAAACCTTATCCACTTCTCAATAAACCTTATCCACTTCTCAATAAACCTCATCCACTTCTTCAAAAACCTTATCCACTTCTCAATAAACCTTATCCACTTCTCAATAAACCTTATCCACTTCTCAATAAACCTTATGCCCACTTCCCCCTTCCCCCCCCCCCAAAGAAAAAACGCATGTCTTATCTGTTTCCCAAAACAGCTTATCCACTTCCAGCACTACCATATCGCACTTCCACTTGCGGATCATATCACATCAACTTCAACTTTTTTTTCCCTTCCCGCGAGACCATCATTGTCATCTCAACTCTCTCCCTCTCTCTCTCTCTCCCCCTCTCTTTCTCTCTCGCCTCTCACTCTCTCTCCCCTCTCCTCTCCCTCTCTTCTTTCCTTCTGCTTCCCTCCCTGCCCTCCTTTCACGCCCGCCTCCCACGCTGAGACTTGTCTTTTTCTGTCTTTTTCTGTCTTTTTCTGTCTTTTTCTGTCTTTTTCTATTGTTTGTCTTCCCGATCGCAAAGCGCGCCGCACCAGCCTGCTCCGTCTCAAGCCTGTCACAGAAAAAATCATACAGAACACGATTCACAATATCCCGTGGACGTCAGCTGGAGCAGCAGAAGCAGCAGCAGTTAGGGCCACCTCGCCACACGGCACACACGTAACAAAAAAAAAACGAGTGCATCTTCCCACAGAAGGTGGCAAGATACGTTCGTTATTATTGACAGTAACGGACGAATCTTTACAGTTTATGTGGCAACATGCACTCGTTCTATTTCCGTTTCGTGTGTGCGTCAAGGCCCTTGGTCTCACCACAGAAGAAGCCGTACTTGCATTTTCCCAAGAATCAAGACCCCCCCCCTCCCCCCCCTCCTCCCCCCCCCAACCGAAAAAACAAACAAACGAGGGAAATAAAGGGAAAAATCCAAAGCCAGTGCGGCTTCGTCCGCACATATAGGGAAAAAAGAAACACATGCATGCCATATCAGGGGTCTAAATATACAATTTCTCTCTCTCTCTCTCTCTCTCTCTCTCTCTCTCTCTCTCTCTCTCTCTCTCTCTCTCTCTCTCTCTCCCTCCGGGGCAAAAGGAGCTCCCAGGAAAACTCTCCCCACGATTGACTTGAGGTGAGATCGAAAAGTGTTCGCTCAAGTCAATCGTGGGTATGGACTCGTGGGAGTCAACAATTAAATTGGGGGGGGAGGTGGTTAAGAGGAGGGGAGATGAAGAAGGCAGTGCTCATTATCGAGGTATATGGGCTCGGGGATGCTGCAGACGGGGGACGCGGGGAGAGAGGGATGGAAAAGCAGGCGGAGGGAAACATCGGGAGAGACAAAATGTCGAGAGGTGGTTGCGACGGGGAGAGAGAGGGATGGAAAAGCAGGCGGAGGGAGAGATCGGGAGAGATCGGGAGAGATCGGGAGAGATCGGGAGAGATCGGGAGAGAGAGAGAACGTCGAGAGATGGTTGCTACGGGGGGAGAGGGATGGGGAAGCAGGCAGAGGGAGACATTGGGAGAGAGAGAACGTTGAGAGATGGAGGGTACAGGAGTTGGTGGAACAAGGAAGTATCGCGGTTGGGACGTTGCAATGCGAACGCGATGGACACACGAAGATCGCAAGAGGAGGAGGAGGAGGAGGAGGAGGAGAACGAGAACCAAACGACAACGAGTAAATACTCTTTTCATTTTTATTCTTTTGGTCTTGCCGAGGGGGTACTTTTGGTTTTCTACTGCTTATCTATTCAGGCCGCAAGCTAGGCTACCAGACTGGACCGGGACCACTTGCCCGGCCGGGCAAAAAAAAAAAAAAAACTTTTCTATTTTAAATTTGGTAAAGAATTTCGATGTGACCCTGAGGCAAACGTTGTTCAGTTTATTTTCCGCATAACGTAGTTTTTTTTCAGGTTTTTTGGGGGGGGGTTCCTTTTTTTTTGGCTGGGACCTTCTTTAGCCCTTGCACGGCCGGGCCGCCCGGCAAACAAGGTGACTCGGGCGGCCCGGTCGGTAGCCTGGTAGGCCGCAAGAGTTGGCATAATTTCTCTCTCTCTCTCTCTCTCTCTCTCTCTCTCTCTCTCTCTCTCTCTCTCTCTCTCTCTCTCTCTC